ATCAAATCCACCCCCCGTGGTGAGACCATTCACTGCCCCATCAGAAGCTTCATGTTAACGAACCTTCAGACTCACCCTGGGAGACCTCAGGAGAACATGCCCCATAACAGCAGCCCAGCACAGCCCTCAGCTTGTCCCATACAGCCACCACCACCCCAGCCATGGCCCTCTGCACCGCCGTGGAGGAGAAGTAGAAGATGACAGGGTCAAGAGCGGCATTGAGGCTGGTGAGGAGCAAAGCGTAGACCCTCCAGTCTGGACTCCGTTTCTCCACAAAGCCCACCACGTGCGAGATGTTGTAAGGCGCAAAGCAGACACCGAAGTTGACCATGGTGGCCACGGCCAAACCCACAGCTCGTTGCTTCTTCTCCAGTGGGATATTTGGCCGGGCAAGGAGAGCCCGCACGAAGTTGATGTAGCAGAAGATGGTGACGGCGAAGGGCAGGAGGAAGAGGACGAGGAAGAGCTCCAGGCGTAGCGGGAGGACAAAGCTCAGCTGGTCCTCGGAGAAGTCGTCATAGCACTTGTAGGCGTTGGTGGTGTTGGAGCCATCACCAAGTGATGCAGTGGGGATGTTGGAGGTCTGGGAGACATTGGCAGGGCTGGAGATGTCCTGGATGTTGGCGCTGTTGGGGGTAGAGATTTTGGAGATGTTGGGCTTGGAAGTCTTGGGGCTGCTGGGGCTGGAGATCCTGGAGCCATTGTGAGTGGAGATGTTGCTGTTGGTGCTCTTGGAGCCATGGGGGACAAAGCCATTGTCCATGGAGTCACCAGGGCTGGACATCTTGAAGACCTTGTGATCGACGGTGTTGGAGCTGGAGGTCTCAGAGATGCTGGGTTTGAAGCTGTCGGGGCTGGTGATGGTCAAGCCATTGGAATCAAAGCCATCAGCGCTGGACATCCTGGAGCTACCAGGCTTGAACCCATTGACTGCGGAACCATCAGAGCCGATGAACGTGGACCTGTTGGCCGTGGTCTGGTTCCTACCACCGTGATACTGGGCCACAAAGACGATGGAGCAATGGGAACAGGCCAAGAGCCAGAGGACAACGCTGGCGGCCATCGCCCGCCTCGGTCTTCTCCGATCCTTGTACCGGAGGGGGAAGACAACGCCGAGATATCGCTCAACGCTGAGGGCTGCCAAGAAGAGGCTGCTGAGATAGATGCTGGAGTAGAAGCAGAAGTTGGCCACCGGGCAAAGGACAGCCGGTAAGGGCCAAACAGCCGCTTCGGCCATCTTGAAAGGGAGGAAGAGGAGGAGGAGAAGGTCGGCGGCTGTCAGGTTGAGGAGAAGGATGTCGGAGGGGGAGACGCGCCGACGAGCTTTGCCCAAGAGGGTGACGAAGGTGAAGATGTTAAAAAGACAGTGAGGACCAGCATGGTTGGACGACAACCCTGAGGAGATACATGGACCCATAAGAAGGTTGGGGGGCAGGAGGGGGAAGGACCTAGGTGGGTGCTGGGTGCTGTGGGTCCTATTTGGAGAGGAATCCAAGTATCTCAGGAGGCTTCTCTTCATCCAACCAACGGGCCGAGTAGGGGACTTGGAGAAGGACAAAACCATCTGGGTGTTCTTCACCCTACT